AAAATAGATACTGCTGGGAAAGAAATCATGTGTATTAAACACCTGAGTGTGCTTATCCACTAGTTTTATCACAGAAGGAAGAAACTGTTACAACATCATTCAGGACTTCTTTTCAAGTCCTGTTCTTGGTGTGAAAAGTGGGAAATAAAACCTATTTTAAATACTTGGTGTACAGGCCTAAGCAAAATTCTCTTCATTCCACAGGACAGTGCAAACTGTTTGAGTAGGAGTTTCTCTCAATAGAAAGCAGACAGTTGGACAAAACCCTGGGAAAGAAAATGTACAATCATGAAAGGGATCAAAGGTGGAAGTGATATTAGAATTATAAAAATATTGTTGCTAAGGACTTTAATGACAGTTCACACAGAAGTATACTCTTCCAATGGGAACACGCACACAAGATTTTGTTGTTTTCTGTAGCACATCTTGGGCATTGTGGGGTGGATTAGCATTTTATCCTCTCATTTTTTTCTGATTATACAGATGCTTTAGAGGTTCAACTCTATCCTAAAACAGCATGCTTTCTACTCTCCACTCTTCCACCATCACACTTTGTACATATCTGATACACTGATGCATGACAAAAAAAGCAACAAGGTCGTGTCTTTTTCAATAGCAAAATGGCACATGGGAATGAGGGCAGTTTCCACATCCTTTCACAACAATACAGTCCCATCTCATCTTAGTCTAGTATAAAAACAGGTTACCTACTGGCAGAGTGTAAAGCCTATTTTAAAACTACATAAAATCAATGGTTATTTTTAAATTCACCTTCAGATTTACAGTCATTCAATTCAAATTTTCTTAATCCTTACAGCATGATAAGATTTTTGATCAACAACTCTATTTTCTCTCTTCTCTCGAAAGGAAAATGAAAATACAAATCTGTTCTTTCTCATTAGGGAACAGCTTACACTTGCCAGAGCAAAACAAGTAAGACTTCAGCTTTCTCTACAGGGCAAGAATTTGCTAATTGCAGAAAAGGTTCTGCTTATGCCATGCCAACCTATCTTTGACATGTGAGCTTACCAGTTCTGGTTCCCTATGAAAAGTTACTTCAGCAGCCACCAAAGACAGCAGCGAGGTTCCTCAACCTGTGCAAGTCAGAACACCTGCTGCTTCCCCATCTGCTTCTGCTCATCTACACTGCCAAACCAGGCTGAATGGAGGAATCCAAGTGGAAGCATTGCTGAGAGTTTATGTAGGAGAGGTGTGATGCACTGTACCTCCAGATCTAACACCACACAAAGCTGAGCTGTCAGCAAGAGATAAGGGAAGGAAGAGCAACTGCTTTTTTGGCATCTATGGAAGCAGAAAGGCGTCTAGCAGGATTCTAAAAAGCAGCTGCTGTCAATGTTTTTTAAAAAATTGCCTACTACCTATTTCAAGCTTTTGATTGCTTGCTCTTTTTTGCTCACAGCTTCCAATGAAAATTCAGGCTTTGCCATGCTAAGCAAGCCCTCAGGAATGAACAGCCTAGGCTGTTGTGACAAGCAAAGGAAGTACTTTTAGTCCTATTTTTCAGATATAAAAGCAGAAAGGGCAAACTCTCCTGTAAACATGCAGGAAGCCCAGAGCAGAACAGCACCCTGAACTCAAACCTCTGATTGTCAGATCTGCATTTTCATCACACTTGTGAGCACACGAATCTCTTTAAATCAGCACAGGAGAATATAGCACTGCATCAGAGGTGGGTGAGTGCCAGCTTACAAAGCTATTTCTGCAAAGCACTGAATACAGAACTCTGAATATTTTGCAGTTAGCTCTGTGCAGTGTGTCATCCAGGCATGGAATTCGCTGCCATAAGAGGATGTTGAGTCAAAGGCTGTAGCTGAGTTTCTCAAAAAGCTGAAAAGCAGCTTGGTTATCTCAGGCTAAATGAAAACTTTTTTTTTTTTTTTTTTTTTTTTTTTTTTTTTTTTGTGGAGTGTGGGCAGGGAATAGGAAGTGGGATGGTGGTTTTTGTGCATGGCCTAGTGCTTCTGAGTCCAAGGCTGGGTGCTGATGCTGAGCCAAGAAATAAGCAGACTGAAAATCAGTGACTGTAATTTTTCAGTGGAAGGAGAGTCTCGGTTTCATTTAGTGTTTGGATTGTTTTGCCCAAGTCTGACAGATAAGAACTTCATCAGAAGCTTTTCAGACCATTTTCAGTGTATGTGTTAATCACTGAAGAGAAAGCATATACCAGGCTAGCCAGGATATCTGTCCCTTTGCACCAGGGTCACTAAACACAATACACAGAATAGCTGTTGGTACAGCTAGGACAAGAGGATTTTACTACAATTTGTGCTCCAGAAGTATTGACCCCTTCCCTCCCAACCAAAACAAAGCACAGGGATAAATAAGAGGGAGACAGAAACTATCCATGAACTCAGGCGGTTAACTATTTCTGGACTGTCAAGGAAGTGATCTTTATCAAAGGTAACGTGAAAGCATAGTGAAACAAGGTCTGTTAAACACTGATTTAGTGTTACTTAGCTCCAGAATGCTTTAGATTACATGGGCCAGGGTTGTTTTTAATCATAACTCCTGCTTTGACAAAATGAGCAGTAGGCTTTTATATAATGGATATTATGCAGAGAATAATTCTGCACTGGCAGAGGAGGGAAGCTGATGACATAATAGGTCTTCTCCCTCTCAAAGTTATGTGATTCATCAATTAAATGAATTCAGTGGGATAAAGCAGCATAAAAGGGCAATTTCCCTCTAACACTGCCTGCTGATTAACTCTTCCTTCCCCATTCCAGGCACACGGCTCGAGAACACCGGCCGATTCCAGCATAATAATACAGGAATGAGCCTCAGCCTGAGTCGAGGTCCGAATCCAGTAGGCCGTGCAGCAGGGAAGTGCCGAACTCTTCAGCGGCAGCCGCCGCCCACCGTGGCTGCAGAACGGCTCCGTGCGGTACGTGCAGAGCTCTGAACCGATCCCGCTGCTCCTCCGCGAATGCCGAGATTGGCCACCGAGAAAAAGCGGCCGCTGCGCACTTCCTTCGGTCCCCACCACGTTATACCCCCCGCCCGGCCCGGCGAAGGAAGGTTATACGTGCACCTGCAATGGGCCGCCTGAATTTCCAGCCTTTCTTTTCTTCTTTCGAGCGATGACGCTCCAAGCCAAGCGGAGACTGCCCGCTTCTTACCCCCTTCCCTGAAGCGCTGCCCCGCCGCACCCCGCCAGGCTGTCCGGCGTGCAACGGCCGGACCCACTAGGCTGGGACTACCTCCCGCATTGCGTCGGGGGCGCGGCGCTCAGTGTACCGCGGCGGCAGAGGCCTCGCGGTGGAGGACAGCTCGCGAATCGGGGGAGTGTGGTGCGGTAGACAGCGTGCCCGCCCCCCTCTTCTGCAACTCCCCCCCTCCCACTGCCAGAGCTGCATCAAACAGCTCTCAGGTTTCTGCTGATGCTGCAGCGTCAAGACATGGCTCGAGTTTGCTCCTCTCTCTTACGTATTCAGCAGTCCATTTGCTCCTGCCACATGCGTCCATCTCCTGCCTCCTGCTGCTGCTGCCGTTGGGACGAGCCAAGAGCCACTCCGGAGATGCGGTTGCGGGACTGCGGCTCTCTCACGACTCTCCAGCCGACGCTGTCCAGCGCCCGGCTCCTTCTCCAGATATCTTAAAGGAAGAGACCGGGAGACCCAGCAGATACTTAGGACAGCCTTTTTTTTGTTTATTAATTCAAGCCTTCGGAAAAAGACACTTTGCACTCTCTTCCACCCGCCGACTCCCTCACTGCGGTTTTCGGCAGAAACTACTTAAACCCACTCGCCCTTGGTGCAGCCTGAGTGTATGAATATTTAAGTGTCTCGCAGGCAGTCCTGTACAGTGATTGCTGTATTATTAAGAGGGGTGCAAGAGGAGGAGGGTTGAGTTTGCCACTGCGGTTTTTGTTTTGCTCAGATTCTTTTGGATGGTGCTGCAAGACGGCTTGTCGCATTCTGGCACTGGCTCCTATTCCTAACCAGCGCATCTCACACAGAGCAGGTAAGGAAAAGCTCCCTCTGTCCCCCAGCTCTTGGACCCTAATTTGACAGTTTGGGTCTGGAATGTCAAAATTCATTCCTATGTCTCCGTCTCAGTTGTATGTAGCTGCTGCAAAGCAGAGGGGAGATGCTTCACTCCTTCTCCCCATATCCCTTCAGTCTGTGTGATGAAGTTGTCAGTGCTCAGCTAAGTCTCCACCATCTGCAAAGTGGGATGCATGGTGGTCAGGAAACTTACAGCAGGAGCTGATCCCAGTGAAGTTGCATGGTAAGCCCTCCATGGAAGCACTCAAGAGGAGCACAGCAAGGCTGCAGGTTCATACTGACCTCTTCCTGTCCTGGAGGTACTGTTGTGCATCCAGGGATGTACAGGAACATATAAGGCTCTTCATATGCTGCCATAATGAGCAGAGCAGGATATTCTTGCTGATGTGAAAGCTAATTCATTGCAGTGGAGTATGTATGTGTAGTGGGGCTTGAGGGTTGATTTATGATGCTTCTTTCTTTCTTGGCAGCCTCCATTCTGCAAGTGAGCTTTATATCTTTAAACACCGAGTATCTCCATCTCTTCCCCAGTGCACGAGAGGACTGGGGCAGTGGGGGAAGGGTGAGGGGGGGCAGACAATGGAAAATTGCTGAGTTGGCATTGCAAGGACTTGCTTCCCAGCTACCTTGTGATTTATTTATTAATTTATTTGTGTGTGTGTGTGTGTGTGTGTGTGTGTGGTAACTTCAAGACAGCATCCGCAGTGATGATCAAGTTGGCAAGAAAAGTGGCCGGATCGAGTTAAAGGCGAAAGGAGACAGCTGGGGAGGGGACCCCAGCCAGGAGGTGCACCCCGTACACCCTGGCCTGGGGGGACAGGATCCCTCGCCTTACCTGCCCTCTGCCCTCACCCCCCGAAGGTACTCTCTTTCTTTACTGTCCCTTCATTCCTTATGCCACTTCCTGCATCCCACTTTTTTTTTTCCCTTGTGGATATTTCCAGCCTTTAGGCTTCTCTTCCAGTCCTTCCTCAGGCTTCTCCATTCCCACTCATCCTGCAGTCTCCAAGCCTACCTCCACACCCTGCCTCCCACCATCCTCCACTGAACTGCCCTTGCACTTTCTCCTCTCCTCTCCTCTCCTCTCCTCTCCTCTCCTCTCCTCTCCTCTCCTCTCCTCTCCTCTCCTCTCCTCTCCTCTCTTTTCTTCTCCTCTCCTCACTTCAGCCTGGGTCCCCCATTCTCTGTGCCACAATGACTGTGATGGCTGGAGAGAACATGGATGAGACTTCTGTGCAACCTGGCCACCCCCAGGATAGCTACCAGCCCGCTGCCCATGATGACCATGAATGCTGTGAGCGTGTAGTGATAAACATTGCTGGACTACGCTTTGAGACGCAGCTAAAGACCTTAGCCCAGTTCCCCAACACACTGCTGGGCAACCCCAAGAAGCGCATGCGGTATTTTGACCCTTTGCGCAATGAGTACTTCTTTGATCGAAACAGGCCCAGCTTTGATGCCATCCTCTACTACTACCAGTCTGGGGGACGACTTCGCCGGCCTGTCAATGTTCCCTTGGACATGTTCTCTGAGGAAATCAAATTTTATGAGTTGGGTGAGGAAGCCATGGAGAAGTTCCGGGAAGATGAAGGGTTCATCAAAGATGAGGAGAGACCCTTGCCAGAGGGAGAGTACCAGCGCCAAGTATGGCTCCTCTTTGAGTACCCAGAAAGCTCTGGGCCTGCAAGGGTCATTGCAATAGTCTCTGTTATGGTGATCCTCATCTCCATTGTGATCTTCTGCCTAGAGACATTACCTGAGCTGAAGGAGGACAAGGAGTATACAGTGCATCGTACTGACAACACCACTCAGGTCTACAAATCCAACATCTTCACAGATCCCTTCTTTGTTGTGGAAACCCTATGCATCATCTGGTTCTCCTTTGAGCTGGTGGTGCGTTTCTTTGCTTGCCCCAGCAAGACTGAATTCTTTAAGAATATAATGAACTTCATTGACATTGTGGCCATCATCCCTTACTTCATCACCCTGGGCACTGAGATGGCTGAGCGGGAGGGGACTCAGAAGGGAGAGCAGGCCACCTCCTTGGCCATTCTAAGAGTCATCAGACTGGTAAGAGTCTTTCGAATCTTCAAACTCTCCCGGCATTCTAAGGGACTCCAGATTCTGGGACAGACCCTCAAAGCAAGTATGAGAGAGCTAGGTTTACTAATCTTCTTCCTCTTCATTGGGGTGATCTTGTTCTCTAGTGCGGTGTATTTTGCAGAGGCTGAAGAACCTGAGTCTCATTTCACAAGTATCCCCGATGCTTTCTGGTGGGCGGTGGTATCCATGACCACTGTGGGCTATGGTGACATGTACCCTGTGACAATTGGAGGCAAAATCGTAGGCTCCTTGTGTGCCATCGCTGGTGTGCTGACAATTGCCCTGCCTGTACCTGTCATCGTGTCCAACTTCAACTACTTCTACCACCGAGAAACAGAAGGGGAAGAACAGGCTCAGTTACTTCATGTTAGCTCCCCAAATTTAGCATCTGACAGTGATCTTAGTCGCCGCAGCTCTTCCACTATCAGCAAATCTGAGTATATGGAAATCGAAGAGGATATGAATAATAGCATAGACAATTTTAGGGAGGCTAATCTCAGAACTGGCAACTGCACTGTAGCCAACCAAAACTGTGTTAATAAAAGCAAGCTGCTGACTGATGTATAAACAAAAGACCAAAATCCCCACTCACAGCTTGAAGACTTAAGTGACATAGTCACATTTTGTAGATGCTTTACCGATAGTCTTTGAATGCTTTATTTACCTCGTAAATGCATTGTTGCATTGTGAGTTTTTGTTCAGCGATAAAGAAGCTTCCAGGATCCATGAATGATAAAATTTTGTTTACTTTAAAAAAACCCACATTTTCCACCTGGTAAATTATAACTATTTGAACTAGTTAGGTTTTGAAGTAATGATGCTAGACCTAAACTCTTCCTGTTCCATCCACTTTTTTTTTTTTTTTTTGACACACTTAAGTTCAACTAAGGAAAACAATTTTTAAAACTGAAGCATATGCATGGATTCCAGTAAAAATATCCTGCAAACATGCACAGTTGCAAGAGAGTGAATCAGATAATAGTAAAAAGGTATTAACATGCAGAAAACATTTACCATTGTTTTTATGAAGGGATGCGAATTTTCCTTCTGCACCCTATGTGAGAGAGTACATAGTTCCAACCTACACATCAGCACCTTATTTAAATACACTTAAGGCTGGTCTTTTTTCTATTCATAGGAGAATTATTTAAAAATAGCAAACAGAACTGAGGCAAAACATTTGCACTGCTGCTAAGTTCTCTCATGCGCAGATGATCTTAATGCACTTTCCCCTGTCCGGAACTGTATACAAAACTTCTTGTTCTTCTGTTGCAAGGCAGCACAATATAGTTTAATATAAGCATGTTTGAATTTGATGCTATTTATTTTATAATCGCATGCCTGAAACTTTACCTCAGACAATAATGGATAAGCTTTTGTTTGAAATGAATCTTCTAAAAATAGGTCCTTTATCTCTCCTTTTTCCTTTTTTTCTTTATTTTGGGTTGCATTCACCAGAAGTGCACTACTTAACTTACTTACAACAAATTGTTGACTAGTACTTTAAAGTGTATGTTAGTCAAATGGGAACAATAACTTTTGGAGATCAAAGCATGTTCAAATATTCAGCATTATGGCCTATTTGAATAACGTGTAACTGAAATTAACTAATGCATGAATTCAATAATAATCATTTAAAAAAAATAATAATTAAAAAGTGCTTAATAGATCAAAGGCCTGAATGAAAGATTACAGAAACCTGTTTCCTGCACTGCTCAGGAAACTGTGTTGGCTTTTGTCCAGGCATTGTCAGAAAGGGATATATTCCATCTCTTAAAGAGAAAGATATATGGAAAACTAAGAAGACAGTTATATATAGCAGCACCTAAAATCTAGTATACTTTATATTTGAAAGATGTAGATGCATGCTTTTTGGTGCATTCTCAGAATGTAAATGAAACTTATCTACTATATGCATCCAAATTGCAGCAGCTGTTTTGTTTTGTTTTGTTTTGTTTTGTTTGTTTGTTTGTTTTTTCAGTCATTTGAGATTTTTTTGTATTCCCCTAAAACTCACTGAAGAGACTTAACTGATTGATTTAAATAGTTGTGCAGTGCCTTTATCTTATATCCTCTAAACTGCTGAAAGTGCCTCCAGGAATTGAGCTGATCAGAGGTGAAGAAAGGGCAAGGACCAACACACCGGAAGAATAGTTTTGCACTGCCTCTTGGCTCAGCACAGAAAGCTATAGAGAAGGAAGGAAAGAGCAACCGTGAGTGAGAGCAATCCAGAAGAGGCAGGCAAAGAAAACCAGCATCCTGTGAGATAACTTCTTTCCTTTGCCAGTCACTGCAAGGCTTAGCATTTTCTTTTGCCAAATAAATTGCAGCTATGTTTATGTAAGACTTAAATTTTCCCTAGGTTGCTTATAGGGATATCACTGCCTTCACTATATCTGCCCTTGAGAGCAGCCCTGTGGAGAAGGACTTAGGGGTCCTGGTGGATGAAAAGCTGGTCATGAGCCAGCCGTGTGTGCTTGCAGCCCAGAAGGCCAACATAAAAAGGTGTGGCTAGCAGGGAGAGGGTGTGATTGTCCCCCTCAACTCAGCTCTTGTGAGGCCTCAACTAGAGTACTGTGTCTAGGCCTGAGGCCTCCAGTACAGGAAGGACGTGGAGCTTTTAGAGCGGGTCCAGAGGAGGGCCACTAAGATGATCAGAGGGCTGGAGCACCTCTCCTAGAGGAAAGGTCGAGGGAACTGAGAAGCCTGGGGAAGAGAAGGCTCTGGGGAGACCTCATTGCAGCCTTTCAATACTTCAAGGGAGCATATAAACAGGAGGGGGAACAGCTGTTTACGAGGGTGGATAGTGATAGGACAAGAGGGAATGGTTTTAAACTGAGACAGGGGAGATTTAGTTTAGATATTAGGAGGAAGTTTTTCACACACAGGGTGGTGACAACTGGAACAGGTTGCCCAAGGAGGTTGTTGATGCCCCATTCTGGAGGCATTCAGGGCCAGGTTGAATGTGGCTCTGGGCAGCCTGGTCTAGTGGTTGGCGATCCTGTACATAGCAGGGGGGTTGAAACTAGATGATCATTGTGGTCCTTTTCAACCCAGACCATTCTATGATTCTATGATTCCATGAAATGGCTTTTGACTGCTGGTCCCAGAACAGGAGAGTCTCAGGATTAGCATTATCTGTGACATCACATAGGCAGCAGATGGCGGGGCTGTGCTTTTTTTTCCTTTAGATTACCCAGGTTGTAGGCAACAGAAGCTTTCCAGCACTCTCCCATCCAGGCCTCTTCCATTTACTTTCCCATCAGATCTTAAATCCTATCACATATCCTTCAAACCATATTCTTTTTGCTAATTTCTAACTTTGCTGTACATCCACCATGGTCTTGTGGGGGAAAGAAAACTAGGAGAAGGTATGTTTTGCAGTATGCCAGCCTTGACTGCTAGGCCCTGGGTGATCATAATCTTTGATCAAAGCTAAGGTAGGCACTAATCTTTATTTTCTAAATGTAATATGTTGAGGATCTTCATTTTGCACTTAGCATGTGGCCAACTGCTATTGGACACTTCTTCTTCTACACTGTACAGAACGTTTTTTCTCTTATGCTCATGATATATGTATGTATGTGTATTAATATGTACACGTGTTTCTCACTCCAATTTATAGAAGGGAGAGGAGATTCTTTGATATATGTATACCCGGCATGAGATTAAGAAGCAATAGTTCAAATGTTGGTCTGACCAGTTTTTTACAAATCTTTATCAGGGAGATGGGGAAGGGGAGGATGGCGACTATTACGAATTAGGGTGATGGTGAAGGTAAGCACGCCATTCTGATGGTCCAAGGCAAAAGCACAGGGGGAGAGCAGCAGCAGCGTGGCTGTCCTTGGGCATCAAGCAGATAGCAGGAAGAAGCCACAGGGTAAGTCCAGGAGGAAGCAGCAGCTCTCAGGTAGCAGGCCCAGGAAAGAGTCCGTCAGCATGCAGGCGTTAGCTCATGAGGCTTCTGATATCAGACACCTTGTTCTTCTTCAGCATGCAGGTCTCAGATCATGAGGAATCTGTTGTTAGAAACCTCTTTTCTTCTTCATGAGGAATCTGTTGTCAGAAACCTAACTTCATAGTTGTTAGTCTCCTTTCTATCCTTCTTCTGCCAACGTGGCATTCGTGGGCGCTTGGGTAAGAGTCATGTGCAGTACCCCCTGAGATGGCTATCTCCCTAGAGATAAGCTCACACAAAAGACTGGTTCCTGGCCATTAATCTGCAGTTTCTCTCTTGTTGCCCCTGGCCTTGTCCATCTGTGTCCCTCAGACAAAGGATTTCTCAACCCTTGTCCAGGACTTGCTTGGACTTGTTCATCTGTGTCCTCAGCAAGTTGAGACAAAATGATCTCTTACAGTATGTCTGCATGTGTGTGTGTTACACATATGTGTAAACAAGGCACATAGAGTGGTAAAGAACCCTAACTTTGCAGTTACGCACAAACCTGATCTGACAGGTTTCCAGAAAGACTTGACTTTATTTTTCACTGTGTGGCTTCTGTGAGTCTTAATGATGAGAAAGTCATTGGGAACTGAGGAGTTCTAACTCCCGCAAGAAATGCGAAGTATCAAGTAAAACAGGGCTTTACTTCCTCTAGATAGATATTGTAAAGCTTTCTTCTTGTTCCCTGCTCACTCCTCTGACCATTGTATACCTCTCTCCTCACTAAAATCTGATGGTCCTGATCTTCCTAAACTCTTGTACTCTAGTATATGTCTTCTCAAGTCAAAATGGACTTGAGTGCTGCATTCAACTGATAAAAAAAGCAACCAACTAAACAGCAATAATAAATTGTGCAACATCAAAAATAAAGTGCTTTTGGACTGAAGATAATAAAGAAGTGTCTGGAACATGAAGCCTCACTTTGACTATTTCTGTTGTAGTTGATTATATATACCTAAGTTTAATGACCAGAATAACAATAATTCTGTGTATGCAGAGAGAAAAGTGCTATGTGCAACATTTATCTATCTATCTATCTATCTATCTATCTATCTATCTATCTATCTATCTATCTATCTATCTATCTACCTACCTACCTACCTACCTACCTACCTACCTACCTACCTACCTACCTATCTATCTATCTATCTGTTTTTGTTAGGGTGGATCATAAGGGCTCAGGATGGCCTGGGGAGTCTGAATATTGTTTTGCCCATTAATAGCATACTTTAAAGGATCTAAATATGCTTGGAATATAGGAATTAACATCATGTAGCATAGGCATGCATTTCTGGTCAGTTAAACACAGAAGAAACAACAGTAAGAAAAAAAGCTTACTCCCTTTATGCAGAAGTGCTGAAATGTATTCATGGGCTGAAAGTGCACTTAACCAACTGCCTGTTCTCACTACTAAGTGAGTTTCTTGTTTTTTTTCATCCTCTCCTCTCCTCTCCTCTCCTCTCCTCTCCTCTCCTCTCCTCTCCTCTCCTCTCCTCTCCTCTC